GAATGAACATACTGAATTCAAATTTAGGGTCTGAAATAACTGTCATGGAACCCCATCCAGTGTCTTAACTATATAGAAAAAAGTTAGGAACTAGCATATGGTACCAGTATATGCTAGAATAAATCAATTTAATTTGATAAAAACAGTGTTTAACACTATATATTACGTTTTATTGCCATGTCATGGCCCAAAAAGCGTAGAGAATTGTCAGTAGAGCAGAGTTCACATAAAAGTTTTATGTGATGCTGGTTGGACTCACCGACAAATTGCTGCAGATTTGAAATGCTCCCCAAACACTGTCAAGTAAACCCTAGATCGTGAGACCAAGACAAGTAAATTTGAAAATAGGAAAGAAAGAGGCAGAACACCTAAACTCAAAGATACTGATGTTTGTGCAGCTTTTGGGACAGAAGGAAGACTGCCACTGATCTCAAGCATGAGATAAACGACCATGTATCAAAATGACAGAAAAGAGTCCAGATCTACAGTATCAAGAAGACTCAATGAGAATGGAATATTTGGTCATGTAGCAGTTAAAAAAACCTTTACTTTGGTACAAAAGGTACAAAAACAGAGCTGTTAATGATTAGAAAAGGGTGTTATGGACGGAAGAGTCTAAGTTTGAAATATCTGGTTCAAAGTGTAGGTTGTACTTCCGGCAGAAGAAAGGTTAAAAATATACTTAGTTCAATACACAGCACTTACTATGAAGCATGGGAAAGGCAGTGTGGTGGTTTGGGAGTGTTTTTCTGCTGAGGTGACAGGAGATATTTGCAAAATAGATGGGATATTGGACCAGTGCAAGTACCATCAGATACTGATCCGTCATGGTGTACCCAGTGGTTTGCATATTGTTGGTAAATGATTCTACTACCAAAAAAATAATGACCCCAAACACTCACCCAACCTATGCAAAAATTACTTAGAAAGAAGCTTCTGGAGTCATTCAAAGGATGCAATGGCCCCCACAGAGCCTTGATCTCAACCCAATTAAGCAGATCTGGGATGTGATAGATCAAAAACTTGACAAATCAAAAGTTCCTCCCAAAGAAACTTTATGGGAGTGTATTAGAGACATTTGGAGTAAAATCCCAAAGGACACTTTGATTAAATATGTTGCAAAAATGCCTGAAAGACTGTCTGCAGTTATTAAAGCAAAGGGGGGACACACAAAATATTAACTGTTTGCTGAACTCAAGCACTTCCACTGAGTTTGTGTTGTACTAAATGTAGATTAATAAAATTTTCATGTTTCACCTGTGATTTACCTTCCATTGTTCTTTGAAAGTAGCCTGAAATCTAATTTTTGACTTTGTCCTAACACTTTTGCACAGTACTGAAGACTTTAATAAACACAAACTGACATTATAAATGCACCACAATCAACCTGTATGATATTTTTGGTACAAATAATAATTTATTTTTTCATCATGTTCTAGAGACAACAGGAAATTTTCACTAGGACAAATTATTGACCATTCATTTTAGTACATAGCAAGACTTTTAAAAGTCATATATGGAATATTATGTATGTTCAACCACGAACCTCTGCTAATCCTATTACACCATTTTTAACTCTAAAGCAAACTGATGTAAGTCAGAATTTGTATGCACTGTGAAAATGATTTTTTCAGTAAGTCTGGCTAATAAAGAGACACTAGTATGGGCCAATGTACAATACATAGTGATGGTAAAGTGTACAATAAGGAAAACAACACTGCTTGTTGGATTGATGGCACATGTTTTGAGAATAGCTAGAACTGAGGTAGGGCCCCTAATAATTAAGCATCACAAAGTACATAAAGTATTTAAAAGTCTGTTCCATAACTTTGAAAGCTGAAAGAATGTAATGTCACAATTAAATGGAGGTGGGGTTATCACACGTGCTAACTTTGATTTGGACCATAAACAAAATAATAACAGCATACACAAATGTGTGTATGCCAATGTGCAATAATACAAGTGCATTAGTGAGCCCATGCACTTGAGTGAGTCAGACCCATACAAATGAAGTAACCAATGATATGACTGATTACATTACAGAATATAATAGCCTCATGAAGTAGAGCCTAAAATATTAGAGAAATAAAGTAAGAAACAAATTAGGAGTTTATTTTCATCACAAGGGAACAGCTAAACTATTAGTTTATTCCTTTTTGTCAACAAATAATGCAAAACAATCCTAAAGTAAAATAAAATGACTAGCTTCATGATGTCAGGAAAGTGTTTATACATTGCCAAACAATGGTGGTGATCTTCATCCATCAAAGCATAGCTCCAGAAAGTACAATGTACATAAGCCACTTTAATGTACATAGCTTTGACTTACAACAATTAAACATACATATCCGTGCCAATCGAAATATGTGTAGAAAATTTTAGGGCAATGCCTTCAGAATAATAAAGCGTTTGTGTGTGTACAGTTCCATATTATAATATAGATTATAATGTAATGGCAAATAACACATTAGACTAGTAGGAGAAGAAGTTGGATGGATATATTTTTTTATGAAGTTTACTGAACAGAACCTATGAATTGCATTTAAGTACAAAGATGTTTTACTGTGTCATAAAATTTAACAGAAGTAAATCACAATTTTTTGTTTTTTTCAATAGTAAGCTTTTTGACATAACAATATATGCTCAACAAGAATGTTATAAAATGAGTGTAATACTTTGCGAGATCTATAAATTCTGTATTTTAATACATGACCAGATGGTTTGGATCAATGAAAAATAACTTACGAGACTGAAACTATTTTCTGAATCTAACATTTAATACATTTTTAATCTATAACGATAAAAGGGCATGTCTGTGGGTCTGCGTGTGACCCCCCATAACTCCAAGAGGAAAGAACCTAGAAACCTGAATTTTTGTACACATACTAAGTGGACCATAAGGTTGTGCTTATGGATATAATTACTTATCAACATACATGCGTGCACATCTTTTTGTGAGGTAAGCAAGTAAAAATCCACATAGAAAAGAATTGTGACCACCATAGCTCCAAGAGGAAAGAACATAGAAACCTGAAATTTAGCACCCATTCTAAGTGGACCTGAGGGTGTGCACCTGGGTATTATTACTTACATCATCGACATGCGTGCACACAAGAACATCTTTTTAATGAGGCAAAATAGCAAAGAACCACGTAGAAAAGAAGTATTCCTTATATTACAAATAGAAATCACTGACAGACATGCACATGTATGCATGTTCATCTGTGTATGTGTGCCTGCCATAGCTCCAGAAACCAACAAATATTTTTTTTCAATTTTGTAGGTTACATATTTCATTTTATACTTTCAGCACATAGACTCTTAACAACAATTTTAGATTATACTTTTATTGCTAAGCAACGTCATATAAAAGCCATTGTTGGAATGTATTGTGATGAAAATACACTGGCTTTTCTATATATAGAGCGTGTCTGTATGTCTGTCTGTGATTTCTTTGGGAAAAAAAAACAATATTGTCTAGCCTGAAGCATTGCAATGGTAAAAAATTATAATAGATTCTGATAAAATGTGATAGAAATTTGTGATGTCAAATATTAATGTGAAATATTTAATGCAATGATAAAGTTCTTTGATAATAAATAATTCTTAATTTACTGTACTTTCTTTATGGCTTTTTTATGTTTCTGGAAAATAAAAATGTTTAATGTATTTCTGACTGTTCTCCTATGCTACAATAGGTTCAGAATACATACACTGACACAGTCATCTAGAATATATCAACCTAATATCCCGAGTGAAGCCAGGTACTTTAAATAGTATTTTTATATTTGTAACAAAAAATCCTCAATTGCTGAAAACAATTTGATATTTTTGTTGTATATCTGCCTTCTCCATGTCTATCCATGTTCAGTTTAGACTCCATCTCAATTATTTCACACACAAAAATAATGTATAAGGGAAAATATATATATATATAATCTGTGTAATTCTAAACAAATGGGTGAAAAATATACCATTAAGGTGATGGAAAAGATATAATGACTATATCTATTCTGATAATTTTTGACAATCCACCATTGCACTATAAGGAGTTTGAGAATTTCTGAGATATTTGGATATATTTTGCTTCAAAAGAAATGTTGTGATTGGTAGGGTGTCTGTCAATCAGCCAGTTAAGAGAAGCCTCACATATTGATTTCAGTTTAGCACTAACATCACTTCACCAATTTATAAGTACAATTCACACCATAACAGTTGTATTCAAGCAATTGGAAAATATAAACAGAGTCTCAACCATTACTCTGTCTTTCATATCCCAACCAGCCTGATGAGCACTCGTATTGGCAAAAGGCCTTGCCAGCACTGGATATAGTAGATATGGTGTGGTTGATATATTATTATCTATTTTTTTTTACTTTCACTCAAAAGTTCTTATTCATAATCAAACTAGACAAGACAATCTCAAATTGAGTCTACTAGTACTAGTATTTCATCTCTTCTCTGCAATTCATCCCCCAAATTTTTCCCCACTGGATTTGAAGAAAGTGGATGGATGGTTAATTTGATAATAGAAATAAAAAAACTCCTTTTAAACAGTACTTAAGACAGTCTCAATCATGATAGTAGTTAGTACTCTATACTTACCAATGCAAACTTTCAACTAGACTACAACATTAAGATTTTTTAAAGATGAACCCAAAGAGTGTCTTCATGGCAAACAATTTACAGCTATTTTTGGTAAAGATGTGATATAGTTATGTTCGTGTCTTTTTGACAACATAAGCTGCTCTCTACCTTCTCAGTTCAGCAGTTAACTATTCTTTGGATTTATTCTAAATACATATTGGGGAAAAGGTTTGTTTGGTTATATTACTTACAAGTAATAAAAGGAAATTAATCTTGCATCAAACAAAAGTCATACCTTCACTTCCAACTGAAGAAGTACTGTGAGTCATCATTGCTCTTGTGTCAGTATCTACTTTGCTGGGGGGAGTTACAGCTTGACAGATCAATGATGCCCATGTTACCATCATTTCTTCTGTACGTGGCAGTTTATGTAGGTTAAAAACTAGACCAGGTACCTTAAAGTAGATCAGAATGTCTCATTGTATAGAACAGGAACAAACACAAAAGAAGGTTAAATCAGACGTTTTTAATAGTCAGCAATGTAAGTGATTAAAATAAAAATCACTTTTTAAGTGGCTTTGATAAAACTTAAGAAAAATTTACTTTTACAATGACATCATGCAACAAGGGGAAACACCTTTTAATAGTTTCCTAAGTCATAAGAAAAAATGTGCCATACTTTTATCAATAGATTTGCTTAAAAAATACAACTTCTTTAATTAAAGGATGACCACATATAATTGAATACAATAAAATTTAACACTCAGTATGATAAAACATGCAAATTAATTAAACAATTCGTTTCTGCAACATTCAATATTTTAATTTACACTAGTTATGATTATCAAAATTACATTTCTAATATTACACACTACTTTTTGTTTCACTGCTTTTAAAGTGACTGTTGATAAAAGTATGGTACCTTTTTTTGTGTGTGTGACCTTGGAAACTATTAAAAGCTGCTTCCCTCATTGTATGGTACAATTGTAAAAGATTTAATGTGACATCATTTACTTATTCAATAGTGCAATCATGTGATGACTTTTGTATAAGACAGAAAATTTCAAAATATTAAAGTGCTTTCATTAAACTAATGTCTGACTATTCACAATATTTAGAAAAAGAAAGCACCCTAAGAAAATATATTTTAAAATTGGCTTACTCGAAGTTATGATTTTCCTATACTGAAAATGTATTTTCAATAGGTACTTCCCTCCACTCACAAGATCACCTATTCTCTTCCAGTGCTGCCCTCTATATACAATTTTTTTTCTGTATGCATGTCACATGCCTTCTGATCCCTCTTATTGGAAACAAATGATTCCAACATGTCTCACATGTAATTCATCATGCGCCACTTCACCAATAGGAGCATGACATGTGATGCATGTGACTCCCTCTATACGCCTCTACCGAATTATCACTTCAAGGTTTGGCAGAAGATGTAAGCAACAGAGGAAAGTGGGGAGAAAGGGTGGGAAGTGTGAGAGGAGGGAAGTACTTGGCAGAAATACATTTTCAGGATAGAAAAAATTATAAGTCCCGATACGGTACTTCCCTACACTCACAAGATTAGCTAGAATCCCACATTGATTAGGAGGTGGAACCAGTGGGACGGAATGACAGAAGTACCCCATAAAAGTGTCGAAAGGATACCCCTGGAAATGTGAAACCCAGATCTGAAGTTCTGATGAGATGAGGGGAACTGCACCACTTCCGAAACAGGTATACTCTTAATCCATCCATGAAATGTGTAGAAGATAAGGGTGGAAAGATAAGTGGATAAGTTGAAGAAAATTGTGGCAGGATACTGATCCTGACCATGTAAATATATATGTAACTCAATCCCACCAAGTATAAAAGTGGATAAGATAATGGACGTGCCCCTAGGTGTAGAGTGGCTAGAGCGCGATGGACTGTACTCGGTAAGTTAACTACATCCAAAACCTATGTCACTGGGAACCGACATCCATGTGGGAGTAGGATGAGGATCATACCTTCTTCACCCCAAGTTCAAGAGACCAGAGGGAATCTTGAACCACTTTGACTCCTGAGCATGACACATGCATTAGCTTTAATTGATCAATCCAGATACCAGACATCTGGTATCGAAAGGATTTCTATATAATATAAATCAACTCCCCCCAACAGTGAAACTGACCAGAACCATCCAAAACGCAATAACATGCTCAGATTAAGATACAACAGGGAATAGCAAAAAGGACAGAACTGGAACAATCCCCCTTTATCTCCACTGTAACTCACAACACAGAAGAAGTATGATCGAGGGAGGAAGATAGACACCCTAAACATGTGTGAGGACTTATGTTGGTTGGTTCTACTCAAAATTCAAAACACAGCCATGAGGTACCAACATCCACATGGGGGTAGGATGAGGGCTCCCAATCAAAGGGGTGAACTGCACTTTGAAGTCTCACTCCTTTGTGAATGTACAGTGCATATTGGAGGATATCACGTCATCTGAACCTGCAGAAAACCACCACCCTACTCTGCACTGAATGGTTA